GTATGAATACTTTTGCAAACCACTGTACAATATTGCTCTGTTTGTGCCGGGGCACCGGATCTTTGTAGCAGGAAGTTTGGCAAGAATTTTATCCCTAATTAAAGTAATTTTATCTAAAGAAAATCTAATGAAGTCATCACTACTTAGAGTTATAGGGATACATGGCCCAACAGAGATAGGACTTTTCATTAGTCTAGCTACAGTACTGAACCTGGGATTGTTTTTATTCTCTTCTATTAAAAATGAAGATAAGTTTTGAGTTGGAATTTGAAGGTGGTAATGGAAACTGAATTTCTAAGGTCCAGAGGGAGAGAGTTCCATAGGTGGGGGGCTAAACAGCTGAAGGATCTTGACCCCATGGTGGTCAGGCGAGCAGAAGGAACAATCAGTTGCGAAGAAGTAGAGGATCTAAGATTATGAGCAGGAGTATAAGCATGGAGAAGTGAAGAAATTGACCTTAAATGTAAGAAATAGGATCTTGTAAATGATGCCATATTGAACAGGAAGCCAGTGTAGCTGCTGCAGAACAGGTGTTATATGACAAATGGACGGGGTTCTGGTGATAATTCGAGTGGCAGAGTTTGTCTGGTAAACCAAAGCGAAGTGAACTATAGTAATCAAGATGAGATGTGACCAAATCTTGACAAGTTGAAGAGAATTCAATCTTACTGCTTCTATGTCCTCATTCTTTAGTGTGAGTTCACGATCCTTCGCTCGAATCTCATCTCTCTGCTTATCCACTACCTCCTTCAGCTTCATCATCACCTGCTTTTCCCTCTCCGTCATACCTGGATATAACAAACAGAAGAGCAGAGTGTAAAAACATGATGCAGAAAAGCTAAACAAACTAAAATATTTCTTTATTTCTATCTGTGTTTTTTGTTTGTTTGTTTTGTTTACTCTCAGTATTTACTGGCAGTGAGAAGTCAGCTGCAGAAATTGATGTGTCTTGCAGGTGTGCCAGTGCACTGAGGCAGCTCTGTCTGCGTGTACGGGTGACTGTGGACTCTTTGTGAGACAAAAGAACGAGACCAGCCTGCTATCAAACACAGAGAAGGCTTTCATTGCGTGTCTACATTTGTGTGAAAAACTGAGACAAGTGAAACATGCACCTAGTAACAAGAAAAATGTGCCAAAATACAAAGACAAAAAAAAAAAAAAA